GGACAGGGAGGGACACCGGTGGAGTCAGTGTGGGATAACAAAGGACAAGCACTTGGAAGGGACACTGAGTGGGGCATTCTGGGACAAGGTGCATTTGGAAGGATATTGAGTAGGCACGAGGAAGGACAGTGAATGGGACATGGTGAGACAGTGGGGAGTACTTATGGACACTGGGAAGACAGGGACAGGCATGGCAGGGATACTCAGGGCAACATCAAGACAGATGGGGGGACACTTAAGGAGGACACAAGGGTGGGGGAAGGACACTTAGCAGGGACACAAGGAGACACCCAGGAAAAATACCAGGGCACAAGGAAGAACACCAGGCAAGACATCAAGGGGACAAGGAAGGACACAAGAGGAGACACAGGGTCTCACCAAGGAGAAAAGGGAGAGCACTGGGTGCAAAATCATCTCAGCAGCAGTACTCCACGGCCAAATACCTCTGCCTCCTCCTCTCCCCCTTTGCTTTCCACCAGGTGCTTTGGGGACACCAGCTCAGCCCTAGCATGTGTATGGTGAGGGGTCACAAATAACAGCCTGGCCCCTTATTTTTAGGGGACACACACAACTCTTTGTGAGGGGACAGAGCAGGGACACGTAACAGTGGCAATCAGCCATCCTTTCCCCACTGGATGAGCAGTCGGCTGTTCCTGGGAGATTAAGTGTAGCCACTATCATCATCTTGCCAGTAGGATTTAGATGATGTTTTCCCCTTATTTCTTAAAAACATGCGGGTGCAGCCACCTGGTGCCCACTGACACGCCATGAGGTGCTCAGAGGTGAACCCCTGTGCCTCCAAATCCCGCAACGCCCCAGCATAGCATTAATGTACACAGCGAGCACCTCTTGGTAACTTCTATGTACCCTGGGTGCCCAGGGCCATGAAAACCACTAGCCAGGGACACACAGAAGTACACATAAAAATCAATATAGATACATAAATACAAAATATAAATACCAAAATAATAGAAATTGAAGTAATAGAACAAATAGAAATAGCAGAAATAGAGATAATAGAAATTAGAAATAGAATCATAGAATCATAGGATGGTTTGAGTTGGATCGGACCTTAAAGATCATTTAGTCCCAGCTCTCCTACAGAGACAGCTTCCACTAGACAGGTTGCTCAGAGCCCTATCCAACCTGGTCTTGAACACTTCCAGGGATAGGGCATCCACAACTTCTGTGGACAACATATTCCAGTGCTTCACAACACTCACAGCAAAGATTTTCTTCCTAACATCTAATCTAAACCTGCCCTCATTCAGTTTAGAGCTGTTCCTCCTTGTCCTACCACTACATAGAGATAGAAATAGAATAGAAGCCTTTGATACTCTCTTCCTGGAGAATACAAGTACTGTGTGAGGGCCTAGCCCAGGAGGAGATACTCGGGCCTCTGATGCTTTCCCACAGACGGAAGGGCCACCGAGGGCATCTCCTTGTGCCTCCCTTCCTGGTGCAGCTTCACATGCCCCATTTCATTTGGGGAGTGGAAAAGGTTCTCAGCATTGGACTTTTTTAGGAGCAAATTGCTCCTAATGGTAGAGAGAAATAACCACCCTCTCACCTCCCCTGGGGTTTGCTTTTGTTTTAAGACCTAGCGAATACATGGCTTTTCATCCCATATGGAGATCATGGGCAGGGGGCTCTGGTGGCCTCTGTACAACACTTTGCCTGGCCAGAGGACGTCTCATTTTTCCTATCTGGGAATAAACTGCCAGCACTGGCTGCCTGCACGTAGGCAACCCAGGCACGTGCAGATAAGGCACCATCTGCTTTTATTTGCATCCAAGTTTTTAACTGTCAGAAGCAGCTCACCCATACTCCAAGCTCTGGGGATAGAGGAGAAGGTTTAGGGGGGGTTTAGGAATTGGCCCCCGAGGCTGGCACAGTGCCATGGTCTGACCGCATAACCTCCAGCCTTAAAACCCAGGCAGTCATTATCTATACAGTGCAGTGATGTGGGGGCAAAGGCGGGAGGGAGGGGAGGAAAGGAGACAGAGAGGGAGGGGGCAGATGCTTTACCTAACTTTGGACATCTTAGGGGTCTAATCTCAGCTGTTCACCTGGGCAGTTCCTGCAGCTGATCTGGGCTGCTCAGCCTCCTCCGGCGGGTGCCGCTGCTGGCAAACAAACACCCTCTCCCCCATACATGGTGGTTCTGGCCCTTTCATCTGGACTAGCTCCCTAACTTTTAGGCAGTCAAAATAGAGGGAAGATCCTGTGCCCCTGAGCAACTTGCTGGAGGGAAGGTAGACAGGTGGTCACAGCTCATCAGGCTGCTGTTGGCCTTGTACATGGTGGGTAACCTGGTCAAGGTAACCCCTAAGCACCCCACTTGATGCTGGAAAACACCCCTTGAACCTTGCACTGTTTTACCTATGCATCCTTAACACGAACTGCTCAAGACTGAGAGGATTTTCCAGCCCCTGGTAGGATGTCAAGGCTGGAGGTGGAATGCAGATGCTGCAGAGCAATGCAAGTCCTGTTGCTTCTGGGAAGTGGGGTCCAGCACTGCAGGCACCCCACTGCAGGTAGCACAGGAGGGCTCATCCAGAAGGAAAAGTTATTCCTATGGGCCAGCTTGGGCTTGTGCCTGTGTTTTTGGCCACAGAAACCTGCCACCATGCCCAGGACAGGGTGGGTTACACCCTGCAGTCACTTTTCTCCTCAGTAAAAGCTACCCAACCACTCCAAGCCTCCTGTGCCTCCCATTTCTGGCATTAGTCAGCAGAGATTGGGAAATACCACTTCTCCGACGAACTCCAGAGGACAGAGCCTGGCAGAAGAATCCTCTCTGTAATCCTATTTACCTTCTCCTCCCTCCCTGCACTGTGTTCAGCCAGACCCCATGGGGATTTACACAATTCCAGCTGCAAATTTTGTCTTAAATGGTCAAACTGTCCACACTGGATGTGCTACAGATCTGCTGGGTAACAGTCTCTGCCTTGTAGGGGCAGGACAGCTGTTCAGAGGCATCCGAGCGCACCAAGGCACTTCTGGAGATTATTGCCAATGACAACGTCTTGTTTTACCCAATTTCCATTTTCAAAGAGACTCAAAATCACCAGCAGTGGGACTTGGTCTTGGCAGCAGTCAGATCCAAGTGCTTCTGTCCTTTTTTAATAGCAAAACTGGGAAATTGGCTGATGTTCCAGCCATGTTCATCAGAGCTTCAGCCCTGAGCCCCCGACATACAATGCAGTGTGGTCAGCCCAGCATGAAGCTGCTCAGCCTGGCCAGTGCTACTGGCTTGAAAGATGCAAATAAACAGCAAAGGGGCATTGTCTCTGGCTGCTGGACTTATTACCACTGTTTTAAAAGATTTATGAGTTGGTTTTTAAGGGCAAGCTCCTTGTGGGAACTGGGATGCTGGCTCTCATGCAACCACAGTGCTGCACAGCTTTAGGTTTTCCCTGTGCTTGAGGCTGGGACGTTTCTCACAGCCACAATCCAGCTGGGGGCAAGCGAATGGGGTACAGTCATTGCTTTGGGATGCTTTTGGGGCTCTGCCGGCCATCATGCCTATCATCCACGGGCATTTTGGTCACCTCCTCTCCCTGCCACTCTTCCCCCACCCGGCTCCCCTGCACTCAGGAGATAACGACACACAGACGACGGGGTGACCATATCGCCCCGACACAGGCGAGACAGGGGCAGCCTGATTAACGCCGCGCCAGTTTTGGAGGCGGAGTCCCCCATCACCCTGGGATGACGGGATGCTTGTGCCCCGCTGGTGGCTGATCTGCAGCCGCAGAGCCTCAAGGAGGGACAACTCTACCACATGTCACGCGCCCACACATTTCGCCTGTGCTTACACGACACATTTATCGGGGTTAAGCAGCCCTGGTCCGAAAGGCAGAAGAAAACAACACACCGCCCCAACAAACCAACCCAAACACAAGATACCAAACTTTCAGGGAAGGGGTGGGTGAGCGTTGTGCAAAACAGCAGTTTGCAGTTCATTCCTTGCTTGCCCCATGTCCCACTTTTGGGGATTTTGTCTCCCAGATGTAGGTACAACCATGCAGACTGTTGTTCTGGTGGTTGTTTTTTTCTAAAAACCTCCCAGGCATCCCCCAACCTGCCACACTGTGCTCTGAACCCCATTTTTTTCTCTCCTTATTTGGTTCCTACCAATCTGCATGGCAAGACCAAGCCCTGCAGCCTGGAAGCAGCTGCCCTGACCTGCTCTATCACCTCTCGCCTTCCTTCCCATCCCAGCCTCCTGTGTGCCAAATGCTTGTCCCATCCCAAACTCAATGGCAACAGCTATGTCCTGCTGTGAGGCAGAGGAAAAAGCCTGGACCTTGAGCAGCACAGGGATAGGAGGGTTTCTAGGCCAAGGGCAGGAGGCCGAGAACCATCTTTAGCAAGCCCTGGTGCTCCACAGGTACAGCGGGGAGTTGAGCTCATTGCTTGGACTCTTGCACCATCCATTGGGTTGCCCAAGGGCCTTGTGCACTTGACCAAAGCCTGCCACCCAATTTTACCAGAATTTGTGACTTACAAAGAGGTTTGCCTTACCTAGGGAAAGTAGTTGTCGTAGCCCTTCTCGGTGAAAGAGTGGGCCTCTATTTGTCTGCACAGCCCAGCCCCAGGGGATGCCAATACCATGGCAAGGTGATCACATGCTGAGGAAAGGGTGCTGCCCTAACTACCCTCATTCTGGCTGCCACCATGTTCTTACACTCCGCTTCCATCCCCATGTCTCACAGTACTCCATCCTCCCAGCTGACACATCTGTTGCCTCTATCCAAGAATCCTCCTTGACCCCTTCGTCCTCTCCTCTTCAGATGTTGCCCCCAGCCCCAGCAAGTACCTGCAATTGGGGCTCTTCTGTAAGTGCCAGCAGCCTATTTGAGCAATAGCTCCTGTTTACACTGGGATGGGGCTGAACAAGAAATAGTCACCCTCAGGTTCTCCACTGGGACAAAAAAGCAATATGTTTCATCCAAAAAAGAGGAGGAGGAAAGCATTCGAGATCCCTCTGATCTCCCCCAGGACCTATATATACTGTTTACTCTGCCAGTAATTTGCAGTGCCATGTGCCCTCCCAAAACTGGATTTACTAATGGAGCTCAGGCTCAGCTCTTCCTCCATGAGGTGAGAGTCCATGTGGAATTTTGGGAGCAGTGTGGTGAAGCAGATTACTTCCCCCCTCAAAGCCAAAGGTGAAAACATCTGGATAATGGCACTGCAGGGCTCCTCTCGCTCTCTAGCCAGGGGCTGGGTGTGTTCCTGCTGCTTTCCCTTACCAAACCCTGAGGGAGGGAAGCAACTGGTCAGTATGACCCAAAACCTTGAAATTACCCTTCCCCTCACCCCTGTGGATTAGGGCCACATGGCAAACCTTCCCCTCAAGGAACACATTTTTCTCAGCGAAAGGGGAAGATTTTATTAAGTTAAAAGTTGAAGGGTGCAGCAGAGCAGCAGCAGCTGCCACCTTGGGGAGGTTGGCTCTGGCGGGTGCAGTAGCAGCCTCACAGCTCCTCTCCTCCAGAAAGGAGAAGCCCCGTGGCTTTGGGCTCCTGCCAACGCGGGTTCTTGAAGGAGCCAAAAGGGCAGATACGGAGAGAGCTTGATCATGCGGACTCTTGCCAAGGTGTCCTCTTTCAAATGTCCCAGGCAAGCACATCCATGGCAGGTGGCCCCAGCGTCTCCCTCCTATGGCTTGCATGTCTTCTCCGCAGGTCCTGGGGGGTGGCACGGGGAGGGGAAGCATGGTCCTTGCTGTACATCCCAGGGGACCGTGGAGACATTTGGAAGAGAGGGAATACATGCCAAAGGTGGCTGTGTGGCTGGGAGCAATGGGGCTGGGGAAGGGGGAAAAAAACCAGATTCTCTTTTTCAGGTTAGAAAAATGCTGGTGATGTAGTAAAAGTTTTCCTCCTCCTCTTCCCCTTCTTCCTGTGGGGGAAAAATTCCTCTATAAAATATAATTTTCACATATAAAAATCCTGAAGAAGGTGCATGTAAGGAGCCAGTCCAAACAATGTGCTCAGGTATGCAGGCAAAAAGGGTTCATCCAAAAAGCTTTGGGAAGGGAGTGAGGAGGTTGGGGGTGTGTGGGATTCCTTGCCAAGGCGATAACGGATGGGATTCAACCTCCCTCTCCCCACAAGTGAGGAATGGAGCAAATACAAAACTAGAACAGATAACAAACGTAGAGCAGACCTAGAGAGAGAGACAAAACAGAAATGGTTTAGAAAGACTCCACTGAGCACAGAAATACTGACCTTCCTGCTCCCTGGAGAGATGGCTGTCTGGTGCCCTGCTACAGACCCACTCATTTCAGTGCCCATCAGCAAGCGCTGGTGGAGCAGGGTGACCCCAATTCCAATGGCCATGGCATCCAAGCAAGGGCAGAAGCAGTACGGACAACAGGATGCCCTTGTTCCTGTCACCCTGCTTCCCTCCCCAGCCACGGCAGGGATATCTGCAGGTGAGTGTGGGAGAAGGGCTGGGTCTAGTCAGGGCTGCTTTGATGCAGACCTAAAATTTCCGTTCTGTGATAGGGAAACCACTTCAAAGGTGAACAGAGCAGAAACACAGCCTTACACGGGGAATGTGTAACTGCCCCCACATTGTCACCCAAGCCACAGGTCGAAGGCCAGCATTTAGCTGGCTCCCACATCCAACCTGGTTGAGCAGCACTTGGTGCTGGCTGCATCGAGAGCAACACAGTGAAAAGGGGGCTGAAGCCCTTGGGAGAATGTCAGGGACAACAGGAGGGCCAGGGGTGCAAGAAGCAGCGAAGGAAGAGGTTAAGCCTAAAGTTTCAACACTGAGTGGAGCAGTAGAAACTGGCAGCTTCCATCGCCCTGTCAGTGTGCAGCAGCCAGTCTCAGCCAGCTGCACCCGCAGGGGACATCACAGCACCCTCAGTGCTCACCGTTACTTGCCGACGCTGTTGCACAGCGACTCCTTCTCCTGCAGAGCCGCCATGGCCAGGCGCAGGTGCTCCTTCAGCTGCTCGATCTCTCGCTCTGAGCGCACCTTGATGTGATTCAGCTCTGCATAGACATCTTGGTATTTCCCTGAGGCAAATCTCTTGTCCTGCCAAGGGAGGGAGAGATTCTGGGCTGATATTAGGGAGGGCTGCGGCGAGGTAAGCCCAGCAGGTGAGAAGCAGAAAGCTAGCCCTGGGTTTGAAGCCCATCCCAATCTGGGCCATGCAGAAACTATTCAGAAGATGAGCATGGAGGTAGCACTTTGCAAAACCTGGGCTAGGAAGGAAGGCAGAGACTCTGGTGCCGCAGCAGTGGGGATCTGCAGCATCAGATTGATGAGGCAATGTGGGCCTTACCATGGCTTGTGTACATGTGGAGGCAGCCATATGGGAAAAAAACCACCACCAGGGATGCAGGCCACTGAGAGAGTTGGGCCCAGCTGCTTATATGGCAAAAAACTTACATGAGTAAGTTATAATCTCCTTGAGCATCACTGAATCTCAAAGCCTCTTTTAGGTCCTCCTTTGGCAGGGGTCTTTGAAAATCCCTCTGAATGAGCTGCTGCCAGTGGAGGGAGCAGCAGGCCCAGAAACAACACCCAAGGAAATACATCCACCCAGAGAGGGGATAACTAAGGGAAGCAGAGTGCTAGGCAGGCTTCATCCAGGTTTCGCACTCGGAAAAGAAGGGCTCCTGGCCTGTCCATGCTTTATGTGCTTATATCTGGGTAAACCAGCAGTGAAGTCTCTGTGACACTTCCCTTCTACAAGGTAAGTCTATGCCAGCCCATGCTGTTTGGAGCTGCTATGTGCTCTGCAGTCAGCAACGACAAGGAGCACAAGAGGGTTTGTCCTGAGCATTCACTAAACCCAGCTGAACCCTGCTGATATGAAGCCCTGGTGCCCCCCTCCCTCCCCTCTCCTGCTGATTTCCCAGTAACTCCCAGAAAACACCACCTTTTGCATCATCTGCAGCTCCTCCCGGAGGCACTGCACCTCTTTCTTTAGGTACTGGAGCTCGTTCTCCTTCACTCGCAGCAGCACCTGGGCCAGAAAGTGGGAGAGGAACCAGAGGTGACTCAAGAGCCACCATCTCGGAAGGGCTGGAAGGCCCTGGCGCAAGCGCGATGGTGGGAAAGGAAGGAAGGACCAGAAGGGCTGGGGCAGGAAACGGTGCAAACAGCCTGAGAGAGCGGCAGAGGGGAAGCTTGCATTCCTGCTTCCTGCACCATCCCCGTTGCTCCATCCGGCACCCCACTCCCCACCTGCTCTAAGCCAAAACCGTTGAGAGGAGAAGATTCCCCAGAGCGGGTAGGGATGGAGGCAGTGGGGCAGCCAGGGGGACCCCCATACCTCCAGCTCGCAGGAACTCCGCTCATTGTTGTGCGAAGAGCGGTCCCCAGAGCTCCGTGACGAAATAAAGCTCCGCAGCTTCCCGATCTCATCCGAGAGGCGGGTCTGCAGCTCCTGCAGCCAAAGCCAAAAGACGTCAGAGTAGCCATGGCACAGGCCTCTCTACTGTCCTGACCCTTCCATCTTCATTCCAGCCCTACTCCAGCTTAGACACCATTTTGTAACTCCCTGTCCACAGCTGAAAGCAGCATCTACAATCTGCAGAATACATTTGCCATATTTAACACCACAGTTATGACAAGCCCAACTACAATCTCTCATTCTTAATCTTCTTCTGACGATAAGATCTCAGAAGGGAAGAAATATGAAAAAATAGGGGAGTTCTAACAGAGGGGCTGTGCTGTGTGAGGGAAAAACATGCTTCACAGTGTCTGCTAGCAGGGAAAGCCCTTCTCTTGCCTGATTTTTCCGGAGGAGGTCCTTCCCCTCCTGCTGACAGCGCTGCAGTATCTGCTCCCGCTCCTCTGCCTTCTGGGTGAGTTCCCCAATTTCCAGGCACTTCTGGGAATACTGCTCAGAAAGCACCTGCAGCTCCCGCTTCAGGGAATCCACGTCCAACCTGCCAAAGAGGCACCAGCTCATCACTGCCCCAAAACCCTTTCCAGCTCCTGGCCACTGGCATCACCCTCCCCCCTGCCATGGCCAGCCTCTGCCCACATCAGTCATTAGCACACGACAATGTTCTTTGTGGACCAAGGCTTCAGTTTCCACACTCCCACACTTGAGTGTGGTGCTTCTAGGAGCTTCAAGACATGCAGGAGATATCTAGGAGCTTTCCATAAAGAAAATAGAGGGAAAAAGCTGTAGGGAAGAGGGAAGTGCTACAGGGAAAAGCACCAAGTAGGAGACAAACCTCCTTGCTCTACAGCTCCAGCAGCCCTGGGATTCACCACTGGGTACCCATCACCCCCGAGGAGAGAACTGGGGAGGTGGCAGGAAGAACAGCTGGGGGCTAGAGCTGCAGAGAGGGTACAGTGACACTGGCACAAGGCAGCATCACTGGGAAAGGGGAGCAAGAGAGGTGCTTTCTTACTGGTGCTGCTTCTGGAGGGCTTCTGGGAGAGAGCTGCATTGCTGGAAGCTTCGTGTCCTGCCTAGCTCCTTATTCATTTCCTCCCTGTGGGCTTTCTTCAGTGCTTCGATGGCTGCAGAGGGGGACAATGGGAGATGGGGGATCAGGCTGTGTCAGCTTTAGTCGGGGAAACCACAACAGGGAACTGGCTAAGCTCTTGCCACTGCAAGTTCCCAGATCTATCTTTGCAGATTCCCCCTCCTCCTCTTCTGCCCTCAGGACAGCCCCCACCTTCTCCAAACCCCAGGATCACCATGCTGCCAAGGAGACTAACACAATGTGGGAACTTCTTACCACCTCTGTCAGCCCTACCCACCTACAAGAAAGCGCTGGTCCCCTTCCACCCATCCACAGAGGCAAGACACCATTTCCTGCAGTATCTTTACCATGCCATCTCCACCAGCACCACAGGTCCAAGGAGCACCAAAGCTCATGCTCCAAGAAGCATCGGTCTCACACCAGTAAGATCAACAGAGTAGCTCCAGATGACTGGAGTGACTGGCTTCTGGCAAGAGACATTTGGGAGAGGTGGGAGGGACCCAGCTGAGCAGGGGCACAGCTTGGTGTGTGCTCCTACCTGCTGCTGTCGCCGCTGCCTCCTCTGCCAGAAGCCGCTCCTTCTCCTGCCGCAGTCGCTCCAGCTCCCGCTGGTGGTGCCTCTGGAGCTCCTCCATCACTTGCTTGTGGGATGACTCCATCTCAGCCAGGCTACGCTCACAGGCCTCCTGTTGTGTGGAGGAGAGGAGGGCTGAGACCAGGAAGGAAGACAAAAGGGCTTGGGCCAGGACAAGCACCTGGCTCAGCTGATGTTTGCCTTTGCAAACCTCACCCAAGTCCAGGGACACTTTGAGAGAAGTAAGGCTACTTCCCAGGAGGGTCTTTTCCTTCTGAAAGTGAAGTAGCACTTTAATCTCTGAACACAACCATTTGAGAGGGACACACATCTTGCAACCCCTTGACACTTTACAGAGGAAGAAACATTCCTCTGGCTCTTAAAACTAAAGCAGCAAGACAGGAACATCCCTCTTGGGCCAAGAGTTGGGAATAACGTGCAACGCCACAGTCCTGACCCTCCACCAGGCTGCACTGCCTGGCCGAAGATCAACAGAGGGAACTGCATCTCAGTATCTGCCTTTTAAATGAAGCAGCATCTCCCGGAATCAATGAAAACTGAGCCTCTTCTCCTGAAAAGTGACACTCTGCACTGCCCTGAGGCCTGACAGAGGCTGTGAAAGAGCCCTCCCCACAGCCTAATGGTTAGGGATCCTCCTCACACAAATCGCCCTCCTTTCTGATAGCTCTGAGACCAGGGGGATAGTTCTTTCTACGCTGAGTGCCGTGGTTAACTCAAGATAGAGCAAAGCAAAGCGGTTCCCACCTTGGCACTACATCTCTGCTCCCCCTCCACCACCACCCCAAGCCTCTCAAGAAGTATTTGTTCATCACCAAACCATGCCTTTTCTTTAAAAAGCCTGGGGCTCAAAGACAACAGCAGAGAGCTAGGAAGTCATCACATCCTCCCACAGCCCCTTGCCATCCCATTCCTTCACCCAGGACTAAGGCAAAGGCTGATACAAAGGACACTGCAAGACAAGTGTATGAATGCAAGTCCTTGCTGGCTACTCTTCTCTACTGAGATGAGAGAAGCTCACAGATCAACCAAAGGAGAGGAAAAGGTAAGGAATCAATTTGGTGATCTGTCCACGGACTGGCTGCAACCCTTGGCAGAGAGAACAAGTCCTTTGGGGAAAGGTCAAGTTTGGCCTCAAATGTGAAATGCTGGCCTTTTGAGAAAAGTTATTAGGAAGATAAGGAAGTTCCTCCCCACTGCTTTTGCTTTTTTTGACTATAAAGAGGCCTGTGAGATGCAAATATTAAATCAAGATGACAGAGAGACTGGTAAGTGTCCAGGCTGTGTGCCACAGGGCTTGTGGGTTTCTTTATCTGGGCTAGGTACAGCCAACCCACTGCAACAGACTTAGCCAGCTCGTTTCCTGCCCTGCCAGCCTCCTCATCCCGGCATCTTTCAACACACAGGGCACATCCTGAAAACCCCGCTGCATGGTAGAACAGCAGCCTCCCCACAGGAAATCCCTATGGGATGTGACCCTGCTTACTTTGGATGAGTCTGTGAGAGGGAAAAATAAATAAACAAAGCAAAGAGAGAGGCTGAAGCATGAGCAAATTCTGCTTAGCAGCTCTCCCACGTGCCGTCCTCAACAAATGGCCTGTGTTGTCAAAGTGACCTTCAGGACTTGAGTGGTCCTGACAGGGATTAGAGCTCCCCAGGGACTGACTGACTGCTTTTTAAAGGCACTCATGAGCCCCTATTAGCAAGAACCACAGCAGCAAACCACAGGAGAATGCACCAGAGGCTCTGCAGAAAGCTGCTGACCTGCTCACGAGCTCACCCCCCAGCCTAGGCCAGGCCAGCATTGTATGCATGTGCAAAGTGGGGGACAGATCCTCCACCTCTCCCTTAACTCTTCTTCTCTTTGTTTATAATTCCGGTCCCTTTAAGGCCAGACAACATCCACCAGCCTTTATGTAATTAACATTGATTACAAATGGGCCCAGTTAGGGTCACCATGACAACCCAATGATTAGCAATACCTGCTCAGCAATAAGCTGAGTCCCAACAATTCCCAGTTTGGTACTGGGAGTGATCCCAGGGTCCTGTGTCCTGCATCCTGCTCACCTGTGAGATGTACCCTCGGGGCACATGGCTGTCTCCCTGGGATGTTGCTGCCTCTCGAAGACTCTCATTTCTGGCCCGGCAGGACTCCAGCTGTGCCCGCAGTGACTGGATCTGTGGAGGGAGGAGAGAGATGGTCAGCCAAGAGTAGAAAAGTGCCATGGTCTGACCAATACGCTGCATCCAAACCCTGGGCTTAAGGATGGGGAGGGCCATGCATGGCCAGTGGGGACGTCTGCTTCCCTGGTAGCCTGCCAAGGGCCCAAACTGGCAAAGCCAGCCCCAGCCTGGTGAGTGCTAGTAAGAAAGGGAGGAGACATCCCAGCTTCCAGAGGTGGATTCATGGTGGAGGAAACCACCACTGCATGGTTCCTTTCAAAGACCGTCAGGTGAAGTGCTTGTAGGCTTGGGAACAGCCAAAGAAAGGCTGTGCATGTGTTCTGAGGAAAAACATTCCATGCAAACAGTGACAACAAATAAATTATCCTGAACCAAAACGTGGTCTGGGGAACCTCTCCAGGTGTGTGACAGCAGGCCTCTGGCCTCACCATGTTGCAAAAGCTTCCATGCACTTGACAGGTGGCAAATGGAGCCAGAAAGAATGAACATCTTCCTGAACCTCTGCCTTGTTCTTCTGCAAAGCCTCCTGCTGCCAGGGACCACACCAAGGGGCCACCAGAATCCCAGTTTCAGAGAGGAGGGATGCTTACCTCCTTTTTCAGTGCCTCGTTGGTGTCTCCATGGCCCCCCTTGCTCTGGTTCAGCAGTGCTGTCAAGGGCACTCGCTGCAAGTCCTTCAAAGGCAGGCGTTCCAGCTCCAGCCACTTCTTCTCTATCTCCTCGTTCAGATGAATCCGCTGTTCCTCTGAAAGTGGTGGAGGGGGGAGGTCCTGCTCCCCGACCTTGCGGGAAGAGTCCCCTGCTGGGCCATCGCTGTTTGTGACCCTGCCATCAGGGGTCTCAAACCATTTCCGCCTCTCCTCCGAACGGATGGCCAGATCCCGCTCCAGCTCCTCATACTTGGGAGTTCGGTCGGAGATCCTCAAGCTCCCTTTTGTCCTCTGTGAGGACCCCTGATTCCCGGGGTCCTGTGGCAAGGGAGACAGCTCCACATAATCAAAGGCATGGCGCTGCCCATCTGCCTTCCAGTGACTGCCCTTCGAGTTCCCCTCGGAGCCCGAGCCCGAGCCTGGCCGCTGCTGCTCCTCCATCCGGAGTGAGCCTTTCTGGGGAACACAGTTACGGAAGGAGTTCTCCTTATCGCAGTCAGAGAGCCTGAAACCAGAGCAGCAACTGGTGAAGCAGAGGCACCGTTGGGAAAGGATACCAGCAGAGGCACTGCCAGCTGCCCAAGGCTCAGCCCTCTCTCAGCCCAGCCTCATGAAACCCCACCCTGAGCATGGAGCTGGGCCTGTAGCACCCCATCCCTCAGGGAAATAGGTTCCTCCACAGGGTGGGGAAGATTGACCCTGGTTGCAGCTATGCTGGTGGAGAAACCAGGCTAAACTGATGTGGTGAGGCAAAAAGCAGGTGCGAGACAGGAAGCCATCGGGCTGTCAATCCCTGTCACCAGCTGGTGTAACCAAGCCATTTTCAGGAGAAGCAGAGAGCAGGGCTGATCTGGGAGTGATGAGATTTCCAGAGGGGTCTTCCTGGTCCCTGTCTGCCAGGGTAGAAGGGCAGCAAGTGGGAAGAGGAGAAGCAGCACAGGGCAGCTCTTACTTGGTGACATCTGGAGCACTGACTGGGCGCACATTCTTCCTCAGGGCCTCGATCCAGTTGCGCCGGATGCCCGAGGTCATCGCTGACAGGGTGAAGACGGCATCCTTTGTCTGCAACAGGGAGGGGACAGAGGGCCCGTCAGTGCCCAGTGGAGATGCAGCAGCTCCCACTCACTCCTTGAGACCTACAGGACCCACTTCCACGGGTAGTGAACAGTGTTAGAAAGGCCATCTGCTGTCTCAGGCTCTTGTGGCCACGTGGAGGGGTGGGAGAGGAGACACACTGCTTGAGGGGAAGCTCGTTACACATCCTCTATGAGACCATCTCCAAGCAAAGGCAAAAGAAACTTTGCTGGCACATTGAGCCAGCTGGTGCAATCCAGCTGTTCAGGTGCTGGATGCCAGCACTGGGGTACAGCAGCAGGCCACAGGGAAACCCAGACCATGAAGTGCACAGTCCTGAGCACCCACCATTTTTTATGCTGCCTTAGCAGCTGCCTCCTGCTGCTACAGCAAGTAGCCAAGGACAGGACTGTACTGGGGCTGAACCCAGGGTACAGGCTGCCACTCAGAGCACAGTGAGCCAGGCTACACAAAGGTCTCTAGTGCTCGCCACTCCCTCCTTGCGGCTATTGAGAAGTTGTCTTGGCCAACAGGTCAGTTAAACACTCCTGGCATTTAGCTTAGCTCGTGGACTGCCTCCAGCACAGCCTTCTGCCAGCCCTGCAAAGCCTCTTTCTTCTCCTTCCTTTGCAGGCGGGCAGCACTTGTGTCCCTGAGCACTGCCACCCATGTGTCACCAAACCAGCCTTGCTGGGCCACCATCCTGGCAAAGGATTTGCTCGAATTGCCTCTCAGCATCTTGGCATGGGGAGGGAGCACACATTCCCACCCAGCATCCCTTGGTGCTACTGCTCCGTGCCCAGGCAGTGCCAAACACTCACGTGTATCTGGAAGCCATAGTTGCGTTGCACTGCAAACTCTGTCACATCCGTGCAGGAGCGGAGGTCAATTTCTCCGTCAAGGTCATCAGCCTGCAAGCACAGCCACCCGCGAGGACATCAGTGCTCACTCAGCTTTGAAAAAGCCTCCATCACTTGTCAGCACCCTAAACAAAGCGCGGGCCACCTCCGTCTTTACCCCAGAGTTCTCTTGGAGCCAGGCTCAGCTCTCCAGAAGCCAGGCTCAGTTTTACAGCACACCTCTTCTAATCCGAGGGCAGCCAGCAGGGTGGAGAGCATCAGAAATGCCCAGCCACAGAATCAGCCCTTCTGCTCACCTCCCACCACCAGCAGTCCCCCCAGACTTCACCACCCCACATCACCCCTTGGCAAAGAGCAGCTTGCCACTTCCAGTGTCCTTCAGGAGGACATGATACTGCCACTTCTCCCTGGAGCACACTGGTCACGCCAGGGCTGTGCTCTTCTACCCCCTGGACAGGAAGGCAGAAAGGGCTGGAGAAAGACTGGCCATGCTTACCTCCTCTGCGTTCGAGTCCCGGTAATACCTCAAGCTCGAGTCGGTCAGCACGAACCAATGTTTCTTCCACTGTAGGTGGATCAGGCAGGGAGAGGGAAGGGAAAAGACAGGAGGGAAATGGATAGGCAGTTACCAGGAAAAGTGTAGGAACAGGGAGGGACTCTCCACGCTATGACCTCTCAGCCTTCTCCTCTCCCTCCTCCCTCCCAGATCCCCCTTGTGCTCCTCAGATGGGAGAGAGACACTCTGTGAAACTCTGTATCCACACATGGAGTGAGGCACTTTCACCAAAGGTTTCCCACTGCCTTTCCCAACAGGAGAGACCTCAGCAAGCATGGGGGAAGGAAATCAGCTGGCTCACAAGGGATCTCTAGCAGCGAGGGGTAGGGGAAGAAGCAGACTCATGTCTCAGGCTTACCTCTCCTGGCTCATCCAGGATGGACATCCATCCCTTCTTGAAATTGAGGAGATCCGGCTGGAGAGAAAAGGACAAAACAGAGAGTTACCCTCTTAGAGCGACCCACAAAAACACTTTTTATGACAGGGGGTAGAAGGCGAGTCCCCAGTGACAGAACAACAATGGGAATATCCTGGCATAGTTTTTAGGAAACTCATGGGGGTATATGACCTGATAGCAAAGGAGAACTGGGCATAGCTCTCAGCAGCAGGCAGTCATTCCTGTAAGAGGGAGGAGGAGATAAGGAAAGGGGTTTTAAAAAAAAAAGGAAAATATGCAGCAGGAAGGTTTCCACAAGGTGCCTCACAGGTATTTATTCAGACACGGGGAGGCAGAGACAAGGAGAGTGGGCAGGAGGGAGTGCTCCACCACCACTGATGGGGTTTGCCTCAGAGATGGAGGCAAAGTCACAAAGAACCAGACACACCTTGTCTAAACCCTGTCTGTTTGTTCCCCAGAGCAATGTCCCTCCAGTAACTTCACTACTGATCAGTTATTAAAGACGAGTAGCTCTCTACAAAACAGCCCTCACCAAAAACGTATAGGAGGCAATTCAACAGCTGTGAAAACACGTTGCCTTTAAACGATGTGCCCCAGGGAAGAGATGAAGTCAGAGCCACAACCAGTGCTTGATCCTTCGTCCTGTCTGAGACTGAACCCCTTCCAAGGCTCAACCCTCTCTGAGATTCTGGGGGCCCTTCCCTTATTCAGCTCCTGCTCCCTCCAACTACAGAGGCTGCCTCCTGCCCAGCCACAGCTACTGAAGATGAGGATGAAGAGAATTTCACCCCCATTATCCCATGCCAGAGTTTCCCCATACTCCCTGCCTCCTCCCAACCCCATGCCACTGGTGCAGCATCCCAACCAGTTTATCTCCTTTCCAAGGTGGAGCACCAGGGAGCTGACTCAGGGGAACCTCTGTCCCTGGCTTTGCCCTCAGCCAAACAGGCTTGAGCGAGTCCCTCCTCCCAGTTCTGTTGGCTCCAAGGAAGTTGCACCACCAAAGAATTCAGTCCAACATGTCTTCTCCTCGAGAAGCCGGAGTTTGCCAACCTGCCCCTTCTTCTGCAGCTGAATCAGGCAGGCACAGTGTAGGAGAAGTGACAGCACTAGACTTGCCAGTCCCAGGGAAGCCACCAGCAGTCCCCATGTGTCACAACCATCAGCTGAGACTGAGATAGTGAGAAGGGGTGGCCACTTCATACTCCCTAAACAAGCCCAGTGGCTGGCCACAGCTGCCCTACAAGCCCAGCTCCCTGGTCATCCAGACAGGATGAGGCTTGCCCTGCTTTCATCTCCCTGAGCTGCTGCTCTTGGGTTACACCCAAGGTTATGGGGCAGCAAGAGCCGAGAATGTGCCGGCCCACCCTGGCGCTCCAGCTATTGGTTTGAGCAGGAGCAGGGAGACATGCCAAGGGGAGGGTCAGTGGCTGCTACAGCTTCAGGCCTGGCCAGAAGCATCCGGCAGTCCCAAGCTCCCTGAAAGGGAGGGAAACCAGAGCAAAGGACATAGGGGGCTCCCAAACCTCACCTCCCGCTGAGGTGACAGGCACTGCTGGCAGCTAGGAGATGAGGGGGATGCATGCATCCCCATCAACACAGACATCCTGGTGGCTTCACTGCTGCCCTGAGAAAGCACCCTGAAAATTAATTCTTTCCCCATGGCAGTAGCTCCACCCTTTTTCCCGTTATTCCTTCCAATCCGGTGACTTCAACTCCAAACTCAGAGCAGTGGGAAGGAAGAAAAGGAGGTAAAACATCAAAGTGCAACCTCCTCTCTCCTGGGACACGTGCACTCAACAGAAGAGAGATGGGCAGGCTCCACAGAGGCGGAAAAACAATATAGGGAGAGAGGGAGCGAAAGGACTCCTGGCTGGGGCTGTCGTATGGATCAGCTGGGTCTCATTGAGGATTTACAATCCCAAAGCATTAGGTGCCAAAATAATTAATATTAATGGGATGTATGCCACTGGAAAAACTTCCACAAAGTCCTGCCAGAACCACTGCCCCTAACACAGTGCTGAGGCCAGAAAATTCCCCTGGGACGGCTTCTCCCAGGCAGATGAATTGCACAGGGCTTCTGCTCTCCCTGCCAGCCCCAGACACAGAGCCAGAGCTCTACAGAATCATCTTTGGACTATTCTTGTCATAGTGGGGCCAGTAAAATAAGTTGAGGCATCAGTTGATGCTCAAAGTGCCTACAGCCATTTTTCTTCCTTTCCCCACAGCCAAATCCAGTTTCCTCATCCAGCATAAAAAGCGCAGGACACCGGCAGAGAAGAGAGCGGGGTTCAAATAGAACCCCTCAGAGGAAATGGCCCAACAGTGGGAGGAGGAAACATCCAGGAAAGCCAAGCTGCTGGGAGAGATCCGGGTGCCGGAGACGCAGTGATGTGGCAGGATGCACCCCCAGCAAAATGCACGGCCCTGCAGCGCAGCTCGGGGCTGCAGATGGTGAGGCTTTGGCTTGGGAGGTGGCAGCAGCAATTTTGCCCAGTTGCATCCGTACCCGTCAGAGGTTTTATGTTCAGCCCTGTAGCTGACCAGTCGGAGGCACTGGAGGGGGTTTCAAGCAGCTGGGGACATAGGTGAGATCTGGAAAGACTGGCTTGCAACAGCAGGTTAAGGAGCAGCAGTTGCCTGCTCTGGTTGAAGAAGGGCTACAGGGGAGGTGATAACAGCCTCTAAGTATCTGAAGAATGTAAACACCAAAGAAGGAAAAGGGACAGGGTGGGAGCGAAGGAATGGCTCCTGGGTGGTACTAAGGCGCCGAGATGGAGAAGTGGAGAAGAGGCTGTGGCAGGCTGAGAAGGCTCAGTGCCGGAGCGGGCAAATGGGATGATCAGATGTCTCCTTCCATCACCAGCCTCTGCCATCACCGTGCCTCCTACTCTTCCTGCTCACAAAGGCTCCTCAGGACCCCAGGTCCTGGAGCACTGCTTTCTGTCATCTCCAGGAAATGGTGCAAGGGGCTTTCAAGCCTCCCGGAAAGCACAGAGTCTCCTCTTCTCCAAAAAGGGAACCCGCTCCACAAGGCGCGGGCCCCAGGCCAAAACACAAAGCAAAATCACTCCAGCTCAGTTTGGTGAAAGCAAAATCGCTTCCAGGCTGGGGCACACATGCAGCTCCCGAACCTACACGTGCAGCGAGAGCCAGCGGGCGACAGGCTCTCCCTTTCCCACCGCCCCCGTGCGAAACGCCGGCGGGCACAGCCCAGCCTGTCACTTCCATTACCCCACTTTGCTCAACATCCTTCCTCCCGCGGCCGGCAGCCGCCTGTGCCTAGGAAGGTTCGCCCCAGGGGCGGGATGTTCCGCTGCCCCAACCGCCATCTGTTTCCCACAGGAGCAGGAGTTCCCCACTCCCGAAGGGATCGAATTTCTCGTCCGACTGCGGTCATCGGTGCGCTGAGCTGGCCCGCCTCAGCCCGGTCCACGCTCCCGCTCATCTGGGTGGGGTGGTGCCCGCCGGGAAACCCGACGCGGCACGAGGGAGCCCCGGGGATGGGAAAGGGAGCCAAGGAGGCACCGCCACAGCCCTTGGTCCCGGGGACCAGAGTCCCCGGGGAAAGAGCGGCTCCAGAGAGTACACCGAGCGGAGACCCCCGAGCTGGCGGCTGACAGCTGGGCCCACCTCCCCTCCCAGTCACCAGTCCCGGCTGTGCCCGAGCCTCGGGGGAGAAGCCCCCGCGATCCCCGCCCGCCGCCCCGAGGCCACGGCGGGCCGGTCCGCGATCACTTTCATGGCTGGGGGCGCCGCGGCCGCGGGCCGGGCCGGGGTCGCGGCGGAGGGCCCGGGCGCTGGCAGCCAGGCGGGCGGGGCGGCTTCAGCGGCCGGGCGGCTCCCACGGCCCCACCATGCCCGCTCCGCCGCCCGCCCCGCGCCTCCCCGCTCGCCTCTTTCCTTTTTTTTTTTTTCTTAACAAAAAAAAAAAAAAAAAGGAAAAGGAAAGGAATGGGAAAAAAAAAAAAAAAAAAGAAAAAGGAAACCACCCAAAAAACGTTTTTTTTCCTCCTCCCGAACTTCCTGGAGGGCCCGGGCAGGTGCCAATGGCAGCCGCCGCCCACCGCCCCGGCCGCCCGCAAGCCAATGGGAGCCGCCGGGCGGGCGAGGCGCCGGTCCGCAGGAAGGCGGCGGCGGCTCCGTGAGGTGAGGGACGGGACGGGACGGGACGGAGGCGATGTGGGATGAGCCAGTGTCAGCCTTTCCACCCTAGGCACGGGCAAAGGTGACGCCCTGACGAGAGACGGGCTGAGCCGCTGCTGCCCCGGGAAGGGACCGTCGGGTGCCCAGCCCTTACCAGGCAGGGTTTGCTCTCAGGCTGGAATTTTTCGCAGGCAGGGATTTTTAGCAGTGCACGCAGTGGGGTTCTTGCCTTGGCTCCTGAAGCTGCTCGGTTTTATGCCCTGACCCCTCAAATGAACTCCTCTAGACTCTTGGCAGAGGTGGTAGCAGGTCATGTGGGGGCTGCTGGTGGTCCTGGAAAGGCAGTTGGCCTCGGGAAGGGGAATTGCTAGAGAGGGTCCCAAAGGAAAAGGGGCAGGGGCTGTGTATCACAAAATGCCAGGTTCTACTCTGCAATCACACCGAGGCTATGCTGTTTGCTGCAAGGCAAAGAGAAGGTGCCTGGCCCAGAGCTTAGTGCTGAAGAAACCTGGCACAAGCAGGGTGATCTGGCCTAGTTGTATGTAGGAAGTTCAGGGCTTTGGGCTCCTCTCTGGCCTGGGGCAGTGAAGGGAGGGAAGGGATGTCACCGGTTTCAGAGGCCTTTGGCAGCCTCTTTCCTCGCTGCAGTTTGTCCTTGTATAAAGCACAAAGCAGAGGACAACCTGGCCGAGATGACTATGCACACAGAGGGGGACAGAGGCAGGAACTCAGGTGCAGCTGCCAGCTACATGGGCTCCCGGGACACTTTCTGCAGCCCTCCAAAGCTGCTCATGCCATTTCTGGTATCCCAGGAACACCAACACAATTCACCATATCTTCTTTCATGCCACTAAAGCCCACTTCATCCCTGTAAAACCCTTGGTGCCATCATAGCACCAGGCAATAATAAAGTGAAGGAAAGCAGCTACACTGAGATTTTAGTCCTAAGCCTGTTACTCACCCTTCTCTGGCTTTATAAACAGTCTCTGTGACTCAATGCCTTCCCCCTTCCCCTGTCTTCCCCAAGAAATGGGCAGAGGATGCAGTGAAGGGGAGTGTTAGTGGCCATGGTCTCCAGGAAGTCATGGGAAGACAGCAACATGCTAAGCCTGCTCAGATCAAGTGCTGGAGACCTAGGTCCTGCCCACAGTGTTCCCCAAGAAAGGGCAGCTGCCCTTCCTCACCATTCCCAGGGGCTGGCCCCTACCTTGTGCTTCTTACTGGCATTCAAATGTGGCTGCGGGCTTCCTGAGGAGCTGGTGCTGCTTTGCAGTGGGAAGGTGCTTCCACCCAGCTGGGGCTGCAGGGAAAAGAGCAGGAGCTGAAGCCATCAGGGTCTAGTCCTCAACTCAGCTTCCCAGATCTGAGCATCTGCTGCCTCCTGGCATGGCCCAGGAGAGAAAGCATCCTCCCTCTTCCCAGTGCCAGCCAGGCAGCTCAGCTCCCCTGGAGAAGCAGAGGATCCAAGGGAGTCAGGATGCACAAAATGCAACCCAGGGGACCCACGCACTCTGTGCTTGCCAGTTTTATGCCTGCCACGGTCCCATTACCTCTGGCTCCTGCCCTACTCACATGGTAAATGAGAAGACTCTTGTTCCCCCAGTCACTTTCCAATGGCTTCTCTGGGTTGTTTGTGTTTCGGGTGTGTTCAGGACCCTTCCAGTCCTCCTCCAGATGCTGTGCCGGGCTCTCAGGCCTTTTCCAGCTGTCATCTGGCCGTAGTCCTACATCCAGACCTCTAGTGGGGCTTTTCCAGTCTCTTTCCAGCTGGCGCATCACATCTGCATGGCACACGGTCATCTCTTGGCGCTTCCAGTCCTTCTCCCACACCTGTGCTTGGTGGACATCCCCCCGACCCTTCCAGTCTTGCTCCAGTGGTCGTGTTGGACTCGTGGGGCGCAGGGGCTTGCCTCGGCCTTTCCAGTCACTGCTGGTGCCCTTTCCAGGCTGGGAGGATGTCAGCTTTTCCCGGAGGCTCTGCCAGCCACATTCAGATGGCTTCCTGGGCCCTGAAATGTGCAGTGGCTCCCCTGGCTTCACCCGTTGCCTCTCTGCTCCCCGCACCAAACTGGGAGGGGAGATCTCCTTTTGGCTTTTCCTCGTGCTCTCCATACATCTTGCAGGACTGAGGGACTGTGGGGGTGGCCCTGCCCAGCTCAGCCTGCTGTTATCTGAGACCTTCCCAACACCTGTGGGGTGCAAGGAGTCCCCTCGGCTCTTCTTCTCCAGTGTTTGCCGTGTACTCCCTGCCTGCCAAGTGGCTCGGCCCCTTTCTGGGTTTGGGGGACGGCCAGGCTCCCCTCGGCTTCTCCAGCTTTTCTCAGAGCGACAGGGGGGGCTCACGGTCTCCCCTACCCTCTTCTCCAACCTGTGGGCTGGGCTTGCAGAGCGTGGGCTTCGACTGCCTCTCTCCAGCCAGCCAGGGCTGGCAGGGCACGGGGAGTCCCCTCGCTTTCTGCTGGCCTTTTCAGAGTGCCGAGCTGGGCTGGGGGAGCGCAGGGGCTCCTTGGGGTCTCTGCTGCGCTGCTCAAAGTGCCAGGAGACTCGCTGACTCTAAGGTCATTAAGGAGAGAGAGAGCAGAGAGTCCTCTTAAAAAAACCCCCACACTAGTTAGCAGAACAAGACAGGATTAGGGCTGGGAGGTGGTTTGGTCAAATGGTTGCCCAGAGAGCAATTGCATCCCTATGTATGGAGCCAGGTCATACTGAAAAGAAGACTCTTGCACCCAAAGGGTGAAAGGGCTCCTGCAATTTAAGAGCCAAGGATCCCAGTCTATGACAAAGGAAGGGCTGGGATTAGAGCGAAGGGGGAGCAGGGGAACGAAAGAGAGAAGCATGTGGCAGAAAGAGAAGAAAATGCGGCTGGAGAAAGCAACCCAGCTTGAAGAGCTGGGATGAAGTCCTGCCAAGCCTCACCTCCCTGGGCAGGCTGGGGCTGGACTGCCTCCGAACTAGGTGGCCTTTGCTGAGTGGCACTGGTGTCTTGCCATCGAGCCGGTCCACACGGCCCTCCTCCAGAGCTTGGAAGGCCTCCAGCGTCTCTGATTTCCTGTGGACACACACAGTTTGTCCAACTGTCACCATGCTCAGCTTGGAGGCAGAGCCCCTGTAGATCCTGCTCCACCTTAGCCTGACCCCACAGACCTCCACCTGTCTCAGACACTGTGCGCCATGACCTCTCCCTGTCCCCATCATTTCAGCCACCTCAGCTTTTGTATTCTGCTGCCTCACGCATGTTTTCTTCACACCATTCCTCATCTTCCCTCCATCTGGTCCTTTGCATCCCACCCACCTGTCCGGGATACTTCCCCAGTCTCTGTTTATGTCCCCTCCTGCCCCATGCCACCAACACTGGAGCTGCTCTTGCTTCTCCAGCCAAGACCTAACCAGCTACTATGTACTTCTTGGTATACCTCATCCTTTCCTGAACAGCATCTACAGTGGATGCTGGATCCCTGGGGAGGTACTGAGGGAACAGTGGGGCTGGGGAACACTGCTTTCCTTCCCTCTTCCCATGAGGAGCCCTGCTTTGCAGCACATCCTCCAGCTTCCAGAAGGTGACTGTGAGGATGAGGAAGGTGGGCAGGTCCCTTCCATCAGTGCAGCTTTTGCTCCACCTTTCCAATGCCTGCCACAATGGGTGAGCTCCCCAGGTTGGATGGCCCTGAGCCTAAACCCAATCCTTGCTTTAAGGGAAATGTAAGCACAGCTGAAAGCTGAGCTTTGCCATCTATCCCTGCTCTCCCTATGAGGCATGGCGATTAGGAGGTGGGGGCCCCATGAGAGCAGAGAGGGGCCCTCTGACCGCTGTGGGTCCCGTTGCTTCTCACCTGCGTTCGCAGCCAAATATCCTCTCCACCTCCACTCGGCCAGGGCTGAGTGTCCGGGAACCGTAGCGGTCAACAGCATCCCGCTGCGCGAGGCGCTTGGGCTTGGGCAGGTCTGCCAGCACTGTGTACTCCTGCCTCTCCAGCCCGTGCCGTCCCTCTGTGCCCCCACTGCTGGGGTGCCCACGGGACTCCCGCACCCGAGACCCAGCAGGGTGCCCACTGCCACCAAAGGGGTTGTTGCGGGCCGATGGGGAGCCTGCTGGGGCATGCGGCAGGGTAGATGCCCAGGGAGGGTCAGTTTTCCGGTGTTTCGGCCAGATTTCCTCACGTTTCTGGCTGGCAGGACGGTGCTCTGGGACGGGGAGAAGGCCGTTACTGGGGGAGGCATGAGCGACACGGGATGCCACCACGTCCACGGCAAAGCAGGTCTTCGGAGGAGAGCTAGAAATGGTCCAGGAGGGGAGAGATAAAACCCAGACTCCCTCCAGGCAGGGTGGGAGCTCTGGGACACAGCACTGCAAGCCAAGGGCATGCCAAACCATGCAAACAGAGAACACCTGAGAGATCCAGGGTTTGTGGTCAGCACACACAGAGATGGACTCTCACATGGTGCCCATGGAGGTGTCGAACACCTTCTGGGACCACAACTGGATAAAGAGATGCTAAATCTCAATAGAGATCTGCTGTGAACTTCAGAGACCCCTGGGTAGAAAGCAAACCAGAACTAGAATCTCACACGGGAACAAGCAAGAGTACCTGCTTTCAGTGGGCAGATTTCTTTCCTAGACCCCTGGGCTTCAGCTCTTACCCAGGATCCAGAACGAACGGGCTGAGCCCACCTGGGTCTGTCTGCCTGAGGGGCTCGCGACCGCACCTCCTCCTTATGGCCCATGTAGCTCATCATGTCCCGTTTGCCTGATCCCAAAGTGTTGTCCCACAACCGGGTCATTTCCCCTTCCTGGGAGACAAAATAGGGCAGATATCTGCAAGGGGGACCAGTAGCTTTTGTGGGCTGGAAGGATGTACGAGCATATATATGAAAAGTTACAACCTGTTCAACCCAAAGCTGCCAGTAAAAAGGAACCAGAAAAGCAGCTGCGTGAGTGTAAGATGACCCCAGACCAACAATGACAAGAAACAGCATAGAAAGTCCACATGGGGAATCCAAGAGTGAATCTCATGTGCTCTTTAGGAGGAGAGCCTCCTTTGTGGGGACTAAGAGTCTCGGCTGATCCCCCCTTGCATCTCAGGACCTTAGAATCATAGAATGTCACAAGTTGTAAGGGACCCATCGGGACCATCAAATCCAACTCCCTGCACATGATGGGCTCCTTTTTCTTTCTGCGGGAGAGCCAGAGGGGTGAATTCAACCTGTCAGCGCGCGCAGAAACCCTCTGAACGTGCCCAGCAGAAGTGACATTGAAGGGCCAAAGGGACTGAGGAGACCAGAATAACCCAAACCGCAAGAGATCCCCATCTCACCCTGGCAAGCGTGGAGTTGGCATCAGCACAGGTGCTAGGGTCGGTGCCAGTTTCTCTGTGCTCACCCTCAGCTCCGGGGCTGAGTGGGGGATATCGCCTGCTCTCGTGCCAGCTGTGGGGCAGGGAGAGAGGACAGCTGGTGGTCAGCAGAGCCCGCAGAGCTCAGGGGCAGGTGGCAGCACTGGCAGCCCAAGTCACACTGGCTCACTCTCTACTGGACGGGCAGAGGCTGGCAGAGCCCATCCTGGGACCACCGGCCTTGCTCTGGAGGGAGTGAAGAAGGAGGACACTCTTTCAGGGGGCCCCCTGCCCTCTCCTGGGACAGTCAAGAGGAACGGTTAGAGGATATGATGTGAGGATTTCTCAGTCCTTTTTCCCAGGCACCAGTGTGCAGAGCATCAGGGAGAAGGTGTCCAGTTTCCCCCTGCTTGGCTTCCCACTCCCCCTCCTCCATTCTTCCCATCAAAGGGGCTGGTTGGAGCAGCACGGCTCCCAGCTGGTACTCACCGCTCTGTGCCCTCCACTGGGCCCACGCACACGTACACCTCGCACTGTGGGGCTAAAATATGGAGGGCGTCCCAGGGCTCTCCTGGATCTGGGTTGCTGCAGGCATCACGCCCTGTGACCTCCACAGCATGCTCCTGTGAGGAAGAAGGGGATGCAGTGGTGCTGTCAGCGTGTCAAGGATGAGGATGAATGGTGCCCTTCGGAAACGCCTGCTTCTTCTACCTCCTCTGAGAGCAGCCTGGCCTCCAGGGCTCTTGATATCTCATCCAGCCCACCGTTGAGATTTTTCTCCTATTCCAAGAGGCCAGAGAGGCCCAGCAAGCTCCTATTTGATGCTGAATGCTGCAGACATCCCAGAGACTGCATGTGTGGATGAGGGCTCAGGGAAACTGTCCCCCCATGTTGACGCTGATGCTGCTGGCAGCTGCTCTCCCTTGCCACCAGGGTAGCTCAGGAAGAGTCAGTGGAACCAAGAGGAAGGAAAATTTTTGCAGAAAAGGCTGTAGTCCCAGCCTCTGCCTCTGTCAGGGCTTGCAGGCGTCTCAGCATCCTCCCCGGCCCCGTTATTTGCAGGGCTTATGAGCAGCAGTGGGGGAGGCTCCAGGGAGTCAGCTGTCTGCACTGCCTTCCCTCCAGCGTCTCGCCTGCACTGGGATTCACTCAGAGGTGACAGCTCTGAGCAGATAGCGGGTGGAGGGCTGAGGTAACCTTAGAGGGCCCAGGGCCAGGACAAGAGAGGGAGAGGGTGAGAAAGAGAGAGGGAGGCTCATTACTATTTCATCATCCCTGGCCAGTCGCTCCTGGAGGACGGCGAACAACACGAAACCCTTTGTGAACATGAAACCAGCTGTTGCCCAGTCGGAGACAGCCAAGTAGCTTGTGCGTCCAGCCCCATCTCAAAGGACCATGTTGGATCAAGGTATCTAGAGTCCAAGGTCCCATGAGATTCAACCCTCTCATGCCTTCCCTGCCTGGAACAGCTCACTGCAGCTGCCCCAGGGCCAGGACTCAGCCCTGGCCCTAAGCCAACAGCAGAGGCCACAGGGAAATCGACCAGGACCATATTTAAGGTGAGGAAAACTGCAAATGCCAGCAGGCATCAAGCAGAGATTAATCCAGGGTGCATCCTTGCTCTGCCAGTCCCCACTTCCCTCCTTATAGCTTTGCACATGTGACAACCCTGCTTTCCCTTCCAGGATCTTTCCCTTGCACCCAGTGTCCATCCCTTCCCCGCTAAGGTGGTTCCCAGCTTTAGTCTAGGCACAGTTAAGGGGATTGCTGTGCCTAGAAAGACTCTCTCCCCATGCAGCTTTCCCCCCAGGACATTTAGAAATCCTGGCTGAGCCTTTTTCTTAGGGATTTCCATCTCTACAAAGATAGGTGGAGTCCCAATAGAGAACAAAGGGGCCCTTAATGAAGTATGCATAGTCTCCAGGTGGGATGGAGTAGCTCACCTCAATAGCATGCTGGTGAGCCCCTGCAGTTCGGAAACAGTGCTGACACAGGCTCTTTGCAAATATGTTGGCTTCAAAGTTCATGCAGGGCACGTCATCCACTGAATCAGACATGGTTCCATAACAAATGAAGATTTTTGGCTGCTGGGCTCCTGGTAGGGGGCAGCCAGGAGGAAAAGGAGGAAGGAACAGCAGCAGAAGACCAGAGCTTGGGGTCCCCCAGCCTCAGGCTCCTGTGGAAGCAGGGATGTTATTTCCAGGTTGAAGTTTCCTGCTCTCAGCTCTCAATACTGGAATCGAAGGGAACCCAGGTACAAGGTGATCAGTATGATCCATATAATTACAGCTAATAAAAGGGTGTGCTCTAGCAGGGACCACTTTTAGAAGGGGGTATTGCACCCTGAAATGACTGCTGACATTCCCCAATTTGGGAGTCCTTGTGAACAGAGAGAATGATGCGCATGAACTGCTATTGTGTTTGATGGAAATTTTCTTTCTTGAAGCTCTGTTAAAAGTCACAAAAAGAAAACCTTTCTTCTTAACTATGTTGCTCATAAAGAGATGGCTATAAGCAGCTTAAGAAATTTGGAAACCCACTGAGACTATTTCTAAACTTGTGCTTGTCAGGTAAAGCCCAGATTAGACAAACCTCCTTGGGAAGTGCTGTGGGTAGGCATGACCTCCTGTTGGAGCTGTGCTGGGAACACGGTGGCATTTAGCTCTCTCAGTGCCAAAATTTTCCCACTAAAATTTCTGAGACCTTTAAGATAGCTGATTGGGAAACTGTGAAGGGCAACAAGCATTGCTAACACAACAGCTGGGCTCCGCACTTCTGTCCTGATTTTTGTAAGCATCCTGCCAACTATCACCTTCTCTGTTCTGCAGGGTTTGAGAGTGAGTCCTTCGATTTGAGGATGTGATCTATGCTGGGTGGGCTCTGCCTAATTTGTTCGGAGGAGGCACCAACAGGACAGGAAGTCAGACCAGCATCCCTGAGGTGAACATGCCACTGCTGCCCTAAACATGGGCACTCGGGTCAGAGCAGCTGACCAAAGGCTGCTCCCCAAACTAACTGGGGCCAACCGTCAACACCAAAATCAAGTTATAATTTTTGTTTCTCAGAGCACTCATTTGCAATACAGCAAGTTGCACTAGTGCCGGTCTTGCAGCCTCCCTCGTCTCACTGAGGGATGTTTTCTGACTCGTTCACACAAAATGCTAGACAGGTGCCTAAGCAACCCCTGCCAGGGATGCAACACGAAACACCCCAACATCGCTGCCCTCCCCTGCCCACGAACTACCACCCGTGGCTAGAGCCCCTGATGGGCAAATCATTGCTCCCCACATCCCTCGGGGCCTACTGCCAGGATAATGCTCTGATCCCCAGGGCTCCTGGCATGCATGCATGCATGCATGCAGCCATGCTCAGTGCTCCCAGTGCCCCCAGTACCTCAGCTTCCCTATGGCTCCCAGCACCTCGCCGCCCGCCGCGCTCCCCCCTCAATGAAGCTCGCCGTGGGAACCGCGGGGCGCCAGGCCCCGCCCCCTCCCCTCTCATTGGCTGCCGCCGAGCAGTGATTTGCATATCGCTCCCCGAGTGGCCCGGCGGCGCGTCGCGGCTGTGGCGCCCACGGGAGCGGGCGCGCACGTGGTCGGTGGCGGACGGCGCGCGATCGACCCGGCCCGGCCGGGATGGGAATGGGAATGGGGAGGCTGCGCCCCGCGGGGCACCGAGGGTCGCGGAGTCAGCCCCCCGCCCTACCCCTCGCTGCAGCTCCCCAGGGACCGCCCCACCGCCTGCCGACGGTCTGCCCCAGTGCTCCCCCGGAGGCAGCACCTCAGGAGTTAGCCCGAACACGAAACAGGTGCCAAAGCAGCGGACTCATCCGCGAGCACCGAGAGAGCCAAATGCCACCGTGTTCCCAGCACAGCTCCAACAGGTCATGCCTACCCGCAACACTTCCCAGAGAGGTTTGTCTAAGCTGGGCTTTACCTGACAAGCACAAACCCTGCCTGACCCTTGCTATTTCTACTGGAAGGTCCTTAACATCCTCCATTGCTCCTGCTACAATTCAAATTCCTTCTCTTCCAAATTCCTTCTCTTCCTGACCCTGGTAAGCAATACAAAAAATTCGATTTCACTTTTTGTTTGCTCATCGAAGGCAGTTCGCAATCCACTCTTCAAACCTATCTTCCCCACACAACCCCTTATTCAGCTCCCTTAGTCCCAAAAAGTTCTTGTCACTCTTCCAGTAACTTTTTTTCCTTGAGTTCATTTCTGGAAAACAGTGCTGGAAGCAGCAGTGTGGCTGTACTGAGTACAGCCTTGAGCTTGATATGCTACAAAAGCAATAAATACAGTGCACTTTCACACATCTCATGCACACGCTGCAACCATTCTTCCTTTGCGCTGCGCTCCAATTTTTCCCCAACTGTCTGACCTTTTTGGCTCTCAGTCTGGTTTTGATCCTCTGTAATCCCAATTATATTTTTATGTGTGCACGTGTGCGGAATCACAGTCTAGCCAGCGAAAGCCATCATGCATGGAAACCCCAGTGTGGCAGCCCACGTCAAAGCCTTGCATCTCTGTGCGTGCCTGGGGCACACGCACAGCAACGCGCAGGTGCCCGAGGTGACCCAGCTGCAGAGCCACGCGTAAAAAGCCTGTGGAAAAGGGAGTTCACAGGGAGCTGCTGGTCTCTGCTTTTCCTTTATGGAGCAGCAGCTGCACTAACATGTTAATATTTGCAGGTACCTTATATTTGGAAGTGGCCTTCTCCTGAACAGCTTGAACTTGTTTGTGAGCAGCTGGGGGGGGCGGGGGAACCAGAAATGCTCAAATCCATCTTGAAAACAATGGGAAGCAGCAAACAAGAATTTTAAGCCAGAGTCTGGTATGAACTGTGATGCATCTGGCAAACAATTCACTAACTTGCATGTGGGAATTCATATCCAGGATTCAATGTATCCTGGGGTAGCCCAACTGCACACCCTGTGCTTAACAAAGACAGTGGGCTAGGGCTGAGTCAGTAATTTACATTACAAAATAAAGCTTTAATCGATCAAATGGAGAAATCAATAGCACAGTGAACAATCCTGATGGTTAACGCAGCACAAGATTTAACAGTTATGCTCTCAGTTTTTCCATATGCTTTTTTTTTTAATATCATTTGAAAACTCATCTTCCAGCAGGAACTGGAAGCTTTCAAGGAGGCTGTTGGAGATTTCGGCTGACACTTGAGAAAGATGTTATTAAGGCCAGAGAAACAGCAAACTAAAAGTGAGATTTTTCCAGCTCACCTGGCAGCAAAATGACAAAAACTGAATTGCTGCTGAGGTCACTCTTAACATCCCATCAGGATTACCATGAGGTCATCTAGCACTGTCTCAGCTATCATGCCAGGCTGGCTGTCTACAGGCTGGGGAAGGCAACCGACCCATATACCAGAGTCCACACTCCAGCAGATTTCAGAGACAGATGGTGCATTTCCTTTACAGTGACCTTCCCAGGTCCAGAGCAAACTCCTTGGATGCGGAAGCACCTTCTGACCATGGTCACTCCACAAAGGCATTACGTCCTGGAGAGAAGGGAAAGCTGCCTTAAAATCCAGACCAACGGTGTTACACTCTGTCCTCTAGCTTTGAGCTGCAGTCCCCTTGGTGTAGTACACCTCTCCAGACAGAACTTCCCTCTCCTTCTCTACTCCATCCCTCTCAAACCAAACAACACAGAACACCCTAGAGCATGTAACTCCCAAACCAGAACAAGAAATATTTTATGCTCCACACATAGCACCTCTCGGACACTTTGGATGAGATCCAGTCCAGCATCAGACTTTTGGCCTTGCCTGAGTTTTGGTTTTGCATCTCTGAAACACCCAATGACCCCAAGTGAGACAGGTAGATAGATTACGGTCATGCATTAAAGCCCATACCCTTTCTGGAGTGGTCTATAAGGCAGTGTTTAAGAACTGTTTTGGAAGCAAGGAAACCACACACACTTTAATGATGTGACTGAGATTATGCAGCACTAGTGCCCAAGAACTCATCCCAGGATGGGACTTGGAATCCAAGCATACAAGGCACCCCTGGCACATGGGATAAGTGTCCACTTCCCCAGCATTTACCTTCTTCAGAAGGGAAAGGGAGGTACAAAAGGACCCCATTCCTTACCATATGCACGTGAGCCACGCAGCTCTCTTTAGAACTCTCTCTTAGCAGAAATTGTGTTGCTGCTGTCAGTGTTGAGGTTGTACTCTCCTCCTTAACACACTGAAGAATTTGTGTGTGCACACATAGTTTCTCCAAGAAACTATGGAGAGATACATGGAGGATGGTGCCATTTGCTTTAGTGGCTGGTGGCCATCAACACTGTTCTGATGTTCCTCCACAAAGCCTCAGGCACTGGTTTACTCTTTTCCCTCCCATTTCTGGCATGAGGAATCTATTTACTTGTCCGTTTCTGGGTTCCAAATTTTTTTGGTGTGGGTTTTGGACACAGAGGCCTTTTCTTTCTTTGTCATTTCCTTGCCAGTACACATATGGCATGGGAGGAGGCCAGGCTGACAGAGGCAGAACGGCCATTTCCTACAGATACTCCAGGACAGAGGCCAGCATGCTGCCTGGGCTCACTCTCCTCAGAGGATTCACTCAGAGTTTTGCCATCAGTATTCCTCAATCTCAGCCACGCAAACATTTTTTTCCCCCACCCGCCAAATGCAACCACAGTAAAAAACACACACTTAAGTCCTAAGAAGAAAGGCAATTAGCTGCTAACAACTGCAGCAGCCCTGAGGTAAAGGGCAAGGGCAGCCTCTGCCACTCCCACCCTGGAGAGGGCCACCCACATACAGCAAGGGCATTAGGGCATTTCATACTCCTCTGAGCTATCGCAGTTAAGATCGGCATATTCAGCAGACAATGGAATGAGCCATTCCTGCTCTGGCTGGCTCTGCCTTACCACAGAAATAGCTCCTAGCTATTCCATTTTCCAAGCACCAGTGGATTTCAATATCCTTTAAGCACCAGGAATTACCTCCCTCTCTTTCCAGCTGGTACTGGCATTAGCACAGCTCCTGTTATGCTTCAGATAAGTCACGAATGGTTTTTTTTTC